ATCTAACTTTAGTCTCTCCTGCTGCAGTTCTAACTCTTTGGGAAGAAGAGGCTTCCTGCCGCTTAGACTACATCTGACCTATCTGTGAGGTTGTCTGCAGCCCAGAGGGAGGTGGCATGGACAGCAGAGCCCCCAAGTCACAATGTGGGTGCCATTCCAGCACATCACAACGGCTGCAGCTTTGAGTAGGTCAGAAGAGGTCGTTCTCCCGACAGAGAAAGGAGCCATTGACAGTGGCTCTTTCATCCCCCTCAGCCCCTAGTCCCTTGCCTCCTTGAGTCTGCCCTGCGTACTCACTCCCTGCCCAGGCCTGGCGGCAGGCTCACTTCTGCCCATCAGGGGACTGCCACCATCAAAGGCACCTTCTTTCCCTCAAACGGGGCAGTCTCGAGGTGGAACATAACTGACTCCCAGGACCCTTTCACCTACAGCAGAGGAAGCACAAGGCTTTTTGTCACAAGGTTTAGCCTGTCCGTGACTCATTTGGGGTCACGTTGGACAATTTTTTCTTTCCATGATCTGTGGCTTCTTTATAGAAAGAAGGAAGGAAGGAAGGTATGAAGGAAGGAAGGTATGAAGGAAGGAAGGAAGGAAGGATGGATGGTATCCCGACTCTAGCTCCTCTTCCTATTGGCTCCTTTTGCTATAACGGAGACCAAGTGAAAGCATAGAGGCACATCACCCAGACCTCCTGGGAAGAGACACCAGAGCAGGTAGGCGGGGAGGAGAGAGTCCTGCCCTGAGCTGAACTGGAAGTGCCTGATTGTCATTTCCTCCCTGCTTTGCCTCCGACACCTATAGCAGCTGATCTGAAAGGTATTAGATGCTTCCACTGGCTGTCCCCAACACCTGCCTCCTGAATCTTGATCGGGGAGACAGTGTCATCAAGCCCTCCAAATAAAATATTCAGTGATACTTGCTTCCCAAAGAGGCAAGTGTGGCCTCTCCTTGGCATGCAGCGTGCTCTGAGTAACACGTCTCCAGAGGCTTGGCTGGTAGGGCGAGTGTCCTGGAGCAGCATGTCCTGAATTGGGACTGGGGGTGGGGAGAAGGGAGGATAGGCAAGTTTTGGCTCTTGAGAATGCATCTGACAAACTGACTTCACAAACAGCCACAGAGAGAGAAATGATGGAAAGAAGGAGGCATCATTAAGGGAAAACTCCCCAGGTTGACATTAGACAGCTGGTATTAGGAAGAAGTGCTGCGTATACAAAGTCATAGGCACATGTTTGCTGGCTTCTACCAAACCGAGGCTGGAGAATTCATTTTAAGACAGGTCATGGAATGGCGGAGTTCATGAAGAGCTGGAAATATTGACAAATAAATTATTAATAATAAAGGCTAATGTCTCTGGAACGTTTCAAATGGATATCATTCTAAGTGCGTTATATGTATTAACTGACTTCATCGTCATAATCCTATGAGATAGATACTACTGCTAATCCCATTTTAGATAGATAAGGACAGAGCATCACAGAGTGGCTACGTACCTTGACCAAGTTTACACAGCTGTCGGCTCTGTTTGAATCCAAGCAGCTAAGTTCAGAGCTCATGCATTTAACCATTAGAGAACACTGTCTCTCACCAGAGGCACAAATGTTCTGCTTTCCTCTGAACTCAGATAGGAGACCTGATCCTTGCCAGCTGGCCCCGCCTTGGAATGGCTACTTGGTAATATCAGCCTTGGCATGGAGAGATGGAGGCTCCCAACTTGGCTGTTAAGTCCGTTGTCCTTGGGAAAGCCACATTCCCAAAGTGGACCATGAGCCTCCCTTGCCAGCCCTGCACTGCAGACCATGCCTTCTCTTGACCCCTGTGCAACAGTACCTGCTGCTTCAAGATCAGAAGGTCCCAGGAGCTGTCGGTCCCAGAATAGATGTTGATAAAGGAATGAGAGGGAAACAGCCCACTATAGTGGTCTGTTGAGAACTCCTGGCCCAACCAGCCTTACCAGGTAGCGTGGAAGGACCTCAGTCTCAGTGACAAACTCTAGAAGATAAAGGAAACAAGTCTCAAGGTTATCACTTCCTCTGAAAGAAGAAGTCTTACAAACTGGTTAATTCAAGCACTCTTTATTTTAAGATCAAAGAAATAGGCTCAGGAAGATGCTAGAGCAGTTTAAAGCCATAGTACTCATGGGGGGACACAGGCAGGATTTGAATCCTGTGTTCCCGAGTCCCCCCGCCCCCACACTCTTCCTGCTGCCCTAAGACTTCATAGCTATCACGCCATTTTTCCATTCATAGTTTACCTCGCAGCGTTCTGTACTTCTACCAGCCTCTCTGCCGGCTGCTGAGAGGCTTTGTTGGGACTCATGCAGTAGTATGATAGAGAAGATCACCTTGGATCTATTCCCTTTCCCCTAACACAGGCTTCCGAGATTGAGCGCCTTCACTGGGTCAGGGAGAGCTGGGCCTCAAGGTCTACCCACAGTGTTTATTCCCAAGGAAAGGAAGACTATGAGCAAAAAGGGAGCTCAGGTGCTCTGGCAGGACTCCTGAAGTGCAGTCTCCTGGGGAGGCTTCAGTGATGATAATAACAGTTGGCACAAGTTGAGCACTGACTGTGTGCCAGGTGCCATGCTAAGAGGTTCCCCACATCATCTCATTCACTCTCGTGACAACCTTGAGAGGTACCTTCTGTCATTGCCCTCATTCTGCCAGAAAGGGAGATGAGACTTGGCTTGCCCCAGAGCCCAACTTGTCCCCAAATTGTGCCTAACAAAAGCCACTCACTATTCAAACTGTGCCTCAGGAGGAGAGTGAGCCGGGGGGCCGGGGGGGGGGGCCTGGGGTGACATGGTTGATCTTAACCTCACACCGTGTGCTTTGGTGTTATCTCTGCTACCAGAACCTTCTTCCTCCAGCCACGGGCTAAACATGTATGCTGCACGCATGTTGTGGAGAAGGCAGGAATGTAACATTCACCAGCTCAGTGCCAGGGTGTCTGAGAGCACACTTTCTCAATGGCCAAACCCCACGTGTGGGGTGGTGACACTTCCACGGCCTCCCTCACAGCTCCTCGTGGGACACCCTGCCTTCTGCTGGGCCAAAGGAGCTTTCCTACCCAGGGGCATGCCCAGAATGGTCTCTGGTCGTTCCCAATCCAGCTGCAGAATGGGAGGATTCTGTTATTTCCTTTCCACAACTCCTCTTGAGGAATTCACGTCCTGCTACCGGCCCCAGGACGTCACTAAAAATAACCTCTGGTTTCCAAACCGAAAGCCCTGTCTGTCGGGAGGCTTTGCTGGTGCGCGCGTGGGGCCGGAAGGGCTGTGTCGGAGCCGCTGAGGTCAGCCTGGGCCTCATGCCGCTGGTGCCTTCCTCTTTCCAAGGAAGCCTGGGGCCTCATGAGTCACCCCAGAACACCCCAGTGGAGACTGGTTGGAGGAGGGTGGTCAGGTGGGGCCTTGCTCTGGCACCATGGTGGCTGTCAGGCCTTGAGGAGGAGCGTTTCTAAAGACACAGAGCAAAAACTGCGGATTTCCAAGGTGGCGCCTGTTCTAATTCTAACCCATTCCAGCCAGATCTGGGGGGGGGGGGGGCGCGGGGCGGGGGAGGAGTTGAAGGAGACACGACTCTCCTAAGCCGCCTTGGAGCAAATTCTCCATCCTTGGTTTGGTTATTTCCATTCCTGCCCAGAGTTCTGTCTGGACTTGTCTGAGAAGGTTGCTGGACAGTCTGTCCAGCTGGAGAGCAGATTTCTCTGCCAGACAGCTCGCTGCCTTGCCACTGTCCCTGTCCCTGACAGTCAGGGGCAGTGCTCTTAGAGATGGGACAAGCTCTACTCTCCCATCCACTCTGCCCAGGAGTCTGGAAGCTGTCCACAGGAGCCCCACCTTGCCCTTCTGGGCAGCTTCCTTAGAATACAGAAAAGCCTTAGGGTCTGGGGGTCGGAGGGGAAGGAGCAGAAGAGTCGGGACAGGGGAGTGACTGGACTTCAGGCAGGACAGGCTGAGGCCTGGCATGGACTTCCCGCATCCTTCAACAGTCACGGGGCCCCAGCAGGGGCTGGAATGAGACTGACCATCGACTCACCTCCCTTTGCTCCTCCCCCCGTTCTCGAAACCCAGAACTCTTGCCCAGGTGGCTCAAGCCAGACTCAGGTAGCCAGTCCCCCTCAGCAAGGAGGCCGGCTCCTCCCGGGCTTCACCTGTAGAGAGGCCAAAGTGGGAGCCCCTTCGGCTCACCAGAGAGGCGGTGGCTGCCATCCCCCTGTCCCAAAGCGGTGTGTGGGGGGGTGTCCACACTTCTCCCTGGGGCTGTTTAGGCCCCTGAATGGCACACGTGAGAACCCCAGTCCTATCAGTCTCCCCGTATTTCACTTTTCTAACAAGTTTCAACAGCTAACACTCAGGGCCTCTCCTTTCTGGAGACGACGAAGCTGAGGAGCAGTGGGGGGCATTGTTTTTCAGGATGAACAGCTCTTCTCCTTCCCTGTAGAGGGCAGAGCATGAGAAAGCGCTGAAATGCAGCAGTGTGAGGGGCTGGGTGGTCTGGAATCAGAAGGAATTTTATTGGCGACATCAGGCTCTGGGAGTAGTTGACCTAGAGAGCCTGGAAGAGGGCCTTCTAAACAAGCTTTTCAAAGCAGGAGAGATTTCCACTCGACCGGGAGAGGACAGACGTGACACCCGGGTAGGGAAGACCGGCTTTAGTGCTGACACTCGGATCGACTGGCTGGGTGAACTTAAACAGTCTTTTAACCTCTCCGAGAGATAAAAACGATGTCTTAAGAAGACAGAAATAGAGATGCTTTGTAAAGTTAAAAAAAAAAAAAAAAGAAAAGTATTTTACAGCGTAGAGGCTGGAGACCAAAATAGATAACAGGATTCCCTGAACATCCCAAAGAGGGGGAGAGTATATTAAAAATAGAAAAACCAAAATACAGAAGGAAGAGACTCAGAGCTAGCCGGGATTGGGACCCTGGGTCAAGCCATCCTATTCCCTCCTCCCAGGATTTGTTTTTTCCGTCTGACCACTCTGCCTTGTGTTTTCCAGAACCATGTGAGGGCCAGCCCAGGAAGGTGGAGTAGATGAGAACTCCGAGGATCTGTGTCCTCCTTCCCTCGGCCCCACTCAGAATGGAACAGAGGCGGCCCTGGCCACGGGCTGCAGAGGTTGACAGCTGGTCTGTGGTCCTGCTCTCCATGGTCTGGGTGCTGCTGGCCCCCGGGGCCGCCGGCATGCCTCAGTTCAGCACCTTCCACTCGGAGAACCGGGACTGGACCTTCAACCACCTGACCGTGCACCGAGGCACAGGGGCAGTATACGTGGGGGCCATCAACCGGGTGTACAAGCTGACGGGCAACCTGACCATCCAGGTGGCTCACAAGACGGGGCCTGAAGAGGACAACAAGTCCTGTTACCCACCGCTCATCGTGCAGCCCTGCGGCGAGGTGCTGACCCTCACCAACAACGTCAACAAGCTGCTCATCATCGACTACTCGGAGAACCGCCTGCTGGCCTGCGGGAGCCTCTACCAAGGGGTGTGCAAGCTGCTGCGGCTGGACGACCTGTTCATCCTGGTGGAGCCGTCGCACAAGAAGGAGCACTACCTGTCCAGCGTCAACAAGACCGGCACGATGTACGGCGTGATTGTGCGCTCGGACGGCGAGGACGGCAAGCTGTTTATCGGCACCGCCGTGGACGGCAAGCAGGATTACTTCCCAACCCTGTCCAGCCGGAAGCTGCCCCGCGACCCCGAGTCGTCCGCCATGCTCGACTACGAGCTGCACAGCGACTTCGTCTCCTCCCTCATCAAGATCCCCTCCGACACCCTGGCCCTGGTCGCCCACTTCGACATCTTCTACATCTACGGCTTTGCCAGCGGGGGCTTCGTCTACTTCCTGACGGTGCAGCCCGAGACCCCTGAGGGCGTGGCCATCAACTCGGCGGGGGACCTGTTCTACACGTCCCGCATCGTTCGCCTCTGCAAGGACGATCCCAAGTTCCACTCCTACGTGTCCCTGCCCTTCGGCTGCACTCGGGCCGGCGTGGAGTACCGCCTCCTGCAGGCCGCTTACCTCGCCAAACCCGGGGACTCCCTGGCCCAGGCCTTCAATATCAGTGGCCAGGATGACGTGCTCTTTGCTATCTTCTCCAAGGGGCAGAAGCAGTACCACCACCCGCCAGACGACTCTGCCCTCTGTGCCTTCCCCATTCGGGCCATCAACCTGCAGATCAAGGAGCGCCTGCAGTCCTGCTACCAGGGGGAGGGCAACCTGGAGCTCAACTGGCTCCTGGGGAAGGACGTCCAGTGCACCAAGGCGGTAAGGAGGCGCTCCCCTCCCTCTCCCCCTGCTCCCGCCCTTCCGGCGTCCATTCTCTGGCAGGTGATGACCCGGCGCGCACCCTGTTCAACTGGGCCGCCCACGGCCTCAAAAGACAGGGATTTTCAGGTTCACGTTATCTGGTTAGAACCAGGAACACAGAGCCTGACCTAGACCCGACACTTGGAGTGTGTGTGTGTTGATCCATCGAGTCGTTCCAAAAATGCACAGCGAGTGCCCGCACCACACCAGGCACCGGTGTAGGCCCGGCCGGCTTCTGAAGCCACCGAGCCAGCGAAGTGCCCTGCCTTCGTGGAGCTTTCATGAGTGAGGGGTGACAAATAAATACCTGAGATGTGTAGTCTGTCAGATGGCAATAATTACTGCAGAGAAAAATGAAGCAGGGAAGAGGGAGGGCCAGTACCCAGGAAGATTGATTCATTGAAAAAGTGGCATTTGAGCAAAGACTGAGGAAGGTAAGGAAGTGAGTCATGTTGCTATCTGGGGAAAACATTCCAGAGAGGGAGCAGCAAGTGCAAAGAATTCAGGGCATTCCTGGTGTGTGTGAAGAGGTAGGGAGGACGCTGCAGCTGGATCGGGGCATGTGGGAGAAACAGTGGTAAGGGATGAGGCCGGGCAGCAATGACAGGGACCAGATCGTGCACATGGAGGGCTTTGTACGCCACTGGGAAGCCAAGTGCAGGAGTCGAGTAGTCAGAGGGATATGTAAGTCAGAGGAGAGGGAAAGGTGTCAAGCTTGACTGGTAGATTGAAAACTAGGGAAGAAGAATCCAGAGTCTGGGCAAAGGGAAAAGAGGAGAGGAAGGGAAGCTTGGGATCCAGACCTGAGGACAGCAGATACAAGAACATCAGTGAGGAGCACTGTCCTGACAGAGGGTCAAGATGCTGCCATCTAAGTGGTCACCGCAATCTATACATCCACCCATCTGTCCGTCCATCATCCATCCATCCATCATCCATCCATCTATCCATCCTTCCATTCATCCCTGCCTCTAGCCATCCATCACCCATCCATTCATCCACCCATCCATCCATTTAACAAGAGACTATTGAAGATGTTCTGAGTGCCTAGCACTGTCCCGGGCACTGGGGATGCTCACATAAAAAAGATGTGATAACTACTCTCACATGTCTCATAATCTAGTGGGAAAGAGAGAGAAAGGGAGAGGGAAAGAGAGGGAGATACTGGCAATGTAATACAGTGGCTAGGAGTTTGGGCCTCAGAGACAAAGATCACAGTCCAGATACTATCTGTGCCGCTTCCTGGCTTCAAAAGTAATTTAATGTCTCTACATTATCATCTGTGAAATGGGGATCATAATGCTTACCTCATGGGATGATCAGATAAGATAATACATGGCACAGATTAGCACTGTGTTAGGTTTACCATTATTAGTTAACTATCAGGATGTGTGACAAGTGCTAAGATAGATTTCTGTGCAAAGTGTTGTGGCCTCTGGATTTGCAGCCTGGGGAAAAATCTGAGACCAAGGGGCCTGTATGGCCTTTTGTGTACCCTAAATTGAGGGTGCCTGCTATTGGAAGCAAAAACCACATCTTAAAGCAAGAAAACATGTCATGCCTCATCTGTGCTTCTGTTCCCACCATCATTTGCTTGGTATGATAGGATAGTGGCTAAGACAATAGACTGAAGTCCAGTGGATTTGTACTTAAAAATCAGTTCTACCATTGGGCGCCTGGGTGGCTCAGATGGTTAAGCGTCTGCCTTCGGCTCAGGTCATGATCCCAGGGTCCTGGGATCGAGTCCCGCATCGGGCTCCCTGCTCCTTGGGAGCCTGCTTCTCTCTCTCCCTCTCTCTCCCTCTGTCTCTCATGAATAAGTAAATAAAATCTTTAAAAAAAAAAAAATCAGTTCTACCACTTAAAACTGTATGACTCTGGGCAAGCTAGGTATTTGGTCTGAATTGTAATTTTTCATCTTTAAATAGTGATAAGACTGCCCTCTTTTTATGACTGTTATGGAGATCAAATAGAAAATGTATATGAAGTGCTTAGCACCATACTTGACACATAATAAGTATTCGGTAAATGGAAGCTATAATTGTTAATATTAATCACAATAACAGAACCGGTTATTTGGTCTTGTTTCACTTTTATTTTTTTAAAAGATTTATTTATTTATTTTAGAGAGACAGAGAGAGAGCACATGGGCCAGAGGGGCAGAGGGAGGAGGAGAGAGAATCTCAAGCAGACTCCGACCTGAGCGTGGAGCCCGATAAGGGGCTCGATCTCACAACCCTGAGATCACAACCTGAGCCAAAACCAAGAGTCAGAGGCTTAACCGATTGTACCACCTAGGCACCCATATTATTTCACTTTTATTAAATGAGGAGGTTGAACTAGATAATCTCCAAAATTCTTTACAGCACTGATATTCTATACTTTATGGTCCCCAACCAGTCAGGAGAGGTGGAGAGGAAATGCAAGGGTTAACCCCCTTCCAGAGTCCTGCCTGGTTCCCATTGCCCAGAGGGGGCCTTGTCAGGAGGAAACTGCTGATTCCTGCCTGCTTCTGAGCCAGAGGGAAGAGGAAGCCTACACCCTTCTCTGGCTCCAGTGGCTTGCAGAGAGACAAGCCTGGGCTAGTGACCAAAGAGCAACAAAGGCACTGGGAGAGAGGTGACAGTAGGTGGGACCAGGACCTCAGAGAACAGCCCCTTCTCAGCCCCCCGTCCCACCCCTGAGAGTCACACTCATCTGGTGCAACCTTTACAGCAGGGTGGGCAGGGAAGCTGGAATAGGAGTTGCTGCTTAAAATCTTTATAATCTAAGGAGTCCCAGACGTGGGGATCCAGACACATTTGGTGGCCTTGGAGAGTGTTAGGGATGGGTGAGCGAAGCTGTGGTCCCAGGGCTTAATTTTAACATAATCTCTGGACTGGCGTGGAGCTCTCAGATGAAGGACTTGAGCTTTGCACCCAGAAAAGGGATGAGGAAGAGGACTATCACTCACTGAATGGAAGCTCTGTACTGAAGACTGAGCTGGGCAATTTAAGTGGTATCTTATTCGAGCCTCGGTATAAACCTTATGAAGCAAAGAGGATCATCCCCATTTGGCAGATGGAAAAACAAAGGCTTACAAAGCTGAAGTAAATTACTTAAATCTACACAACTCTAATGACAAAGCAGGCATCTGAGTTCAGCTCAGCCCGTATGACTTCTGAGTCCAAGCTCTTTCTGTTTCGCCTTGCTGCTGCTAAGGAAAACCATACATCAAGCTCTCACCATTTGAGCAAAAATAAAGGGGCATCAGCTATTTGGAAACACCTGACAATTTAGAGAAGTGAGAAAGAAATGCCAGTCAACTCCAGGGGCTGAGGTTCTAGAAAAAAAAAAAAAATTCCCTTATAGTTCTGGAGATTTTAGAATCAGGAGGAATGTAGAGAAATCCATAGTCACTGGCAAGTTTTTTTGCTTTTGTCATCATTTCTCAGAATTTGGCTTGGACTATGCCTATGCCCAGACTTTTCAGCCTTACCAGCCCCTGGAGAAAGTGGGAAAGAAACTGAAGCCCTGAATCAAGGACTTTCAGAGCTAAAGAAAGCTTGACCATCACCTCGTCCAATCCCTTCACTTTACAGAGGCTCAGAGAGGGTCTGTGATATACCAAGGTCACATGGTTGGATAGTGGTAGCGACAGGACTACAGTTTAGATTTCTTGAGTCTTACCAGGGTACCTGCTGCATACAGTGTAGCAATAAGAAAGAGAAGTAGGAGATGTAAAACGTGGTAACTGATTCCTCTGACCTGCCTTTCTTGGGAGCTAGAAATTTCCATCACTGGGTCTAGTGATGTGCTAGTAAATATTACACAGTTGGTTATGTGCAGAGAGTGGGGGTGGAGCGGGGACACCTGATTTGAAGCATTTGCCAATTTCCAAGGTGTAAATACTCCCACCGTGGCCAAGTTCAAGCCACCAATGTGATGCCACTGAATGCAGACAGGTGTACAGTCATCCCTCATGAGCTGTCCAGCATGCCACCACTTCACTCCCTTCTTGAGGAGCTTATCTCTTCTGCTGTGTCTCCCTATTATCTAGTTGTTCAAGGTCATCCTTAACCTGAATGTTAGTCTCTTTGCTAAAGAATGCATACATTCACACACACACACACACACACACACACAGGCACACCATACACTCACACACACACAAGGGCAGCTCCACCTTTCCCACCAGTATCAGAGGCAGCAAAACACCAAGGACTCACAAGATCCGAGTCTCTCTTCCCTTTGGATCAGAGAAGGAAACAGAAGGGAAGTCCCTGGGTTAGCCATCACATGCCCTAGCTCATAAACCAGTTCTTCCAAGGAAATCAGCTGTCAGTGAATGATGCACCAGCTTGTTCTTCCCCGGTGAGGGTGAAGGGAACAGTTTGCAGGTTTCTCCCTCATGCTTTCTATGTTTCCCACAATAGTCATTTCCTTCCTTCTCTGGGCTGCCTACTCAGACCCAGGAGGAACAGCCAACACGGGACTCTGGGTTCCTTCTGGCCTGGAGTCTGCAGCCTCTGCCCACAGGATTCCTGGTTGTACAGTCAGCTGGGGCGTCTCAGGGGACCCATCATGACCCAGCCCCAGGCTAGGCTCTGTGCAGGCAAAACAAACCCCTTGGCAGCCCCTGTCCTCAGGAAGCATGCAGTCTTCTTCTTGTTCTTGTTCTTGTTCTTGTTCTTGTTCTTGTTCTTGTTCTTGTTCTTGTTCTTCTTGTTCTTGTTCTTGTTCTTGTTCTTGTTCTTCTTCTTCTTCTTCTTCTTCTTCTTCTTCTTCTTCTTCTTCTTCTTCTTTTAACTAAGTGAGATCTTAGAAATAATCCATTGACTATCCCATTTAACAAGCCCAAGAGAGGATATTACTGTTCTAGGTTTACACAGCCTCTTAGCAGTTGAGCAGAGGCCAGAATTCAGGTCTTCCTACTTTGGGATAAGCGAATTTTTCATTGGCTCAGGGTGGTCTTCTTTCCAAGGTGCCCCAGTGTCTCCTGAAAGAGACTCTTTATCTAGGCACACCACCAGTCCCTTCAAAAGCCCAGTAACAGGAAGGCTATCACCTCCAGCATTGTCTTGTGTTTCTATCTCTGTGAACCTGGCTGAAGACCTATAGTATACAACAGTAGAAACCGTTGTACGACTTAACAAAGCTCTGAGCAATGGATTCTTCCATTTGCTCTTCAATAATTTTCCCAGAAAAGTGGTCAAGCAGTATGACAAATGAAGAAACTGAAATTTATGCAGGTGAAGTAAGTTTTCCAAAGTATGAGGGCCTGCCCAATGTTATGATGATCCTTTTCAATCTATCCCCAGTATAGGATCTGGTGAATAATGGGATGGCTTATAATCCTTACGCCCAAAGGGAGACCTGGCAGCCCAAGACAGAAACCCTCTCCAGCGGATGGAAATCCTGTGATTTCCATCACACTTCCAGACAGAATCTCCCCTGTCTAAATAGAAGCATGCCTACAGAAGGGTCTGGTCCCCAGGGACATTAAAATGACCAGAAAATGAGTGCAAGCAATCAGCTTTCCAGATGACCCCTGATCCCTTGGCAGAAGAGTGGATGAGTGGCTGTGGGTTAGGGTGAGGAAGGCTGCAGACCCCTCTCTGGTTTCACAGGAGCCAGAGTGGGATTTGTGAGTCCCTTGGTGAGATGTTTTTGTTTGAGGCATGTGTTAGGTTCCTGAACCCCACGTGTGTACCTCTGTGAGGCCTGGTGCCCTCGGGTTGACGGTTGGGTGGGGGCTAGTGTAAGGAGACTCTGCCCGACTTCTGCTGTCATTTACCCCAATCCCGTCCCTTCCCTCCAGCCGGTCCCCATCGACGACAACTTCTGTGGACTGGACATCAACCAGCCGCTGGGAGGCTCGACTGCAGTGGAGGGCCTGACCCTGTATACCACCAGCCGGGACCGCATGACCTCCGTGGCCTCCTACGTTTACAATGGCTACAGCGTGGTTTTTGTGGGGACGAAGAGCGGCAAGCTGAAAAAGGTAAGAGTCCATGAGCCCAGACACCCCAGTGCTGCCCAGCTGTTGGTGGAGATATAATACAGGCAACTCTTCCTTTTCTTGAAGGGGGTTAGAATCGGGGAGTAGGTAGGGGTTCATTTTGTGGCTTATCTTCTAGCTGCTTCCTCCAGTCGTTAGTCGGCGAGTGTCTAGGGAAGGCAAGCATATTTCAGTATTGCCCAAACTTCACGGAATTAGAAAGGCATCTCACTCTGAGGGTAGGAAAAAAAAATCACCCTTTATCCCCAAACCAAGTAGAACTGATGCTTTGACTCTCTGCGTTATGAATCACCCACATCACAAATCCCTCGCCACGGTTCATAGAATTGATGGCACTGGTCAGAAGTCTTTGTTGCGTCCAAAGCAGCTGGTCAGAGCAGGTGACTGGGCCCATATCGAAGAATCCAAGCGTATGGTGCCCGAGTGAGAAACTGCCCTCCTGCCTTGCCCCGTCCTGCAATCACAGACTCTTTCCTGCCCTTCTGCTCCCCGCTCAAGACTTGAGCTGCCAGGAGGAAGTCAATATCTCATCTCATGCCTGCCATGGGCACCTCGGGAGGGCACTGGCTGGCTGGGGCCGGCAGCACAGAGGGCCTCTGGTGTGGCGGGCTGAAGCCAACAGCTTGTACCTGCTTGTCTAGAGCTCAGGGTGCAGAGACGAGCGCAGTCCGGTTCATTATGTGGGATTACAGCCGCTTCATTCTTTCCGGTCCCAGCTAATCCCCTTTTCCCAAGCTTACCCTTCTGCCCCCTTTCCCCAGTCCCGCCACCTGTGGATCAAGGCCCATGCAAGACCTCAGCGCATCTCACCCTTTGATGTTGACAGCCCCCCCAGGCAGCTCTTTCCCCCAAATCCATTTAGAGCCCAGGGAGAGATGTCTTTCGGGAATGTGGAAGGAGGGGTGGCAGGGAGGGAGCCTGAGGAAGAATTTGCGAGTTCTGCTTGTTCTGAGTTGCGGCCAGAGGAGGTGAGAAACACTGGGCTAGGTTGGTGTGCAGGTGCTGAACTGTCTGGACTGCTTCTGGTTCTCTTGATGCTAAGGCCCTTAACCCTTTTCTCGCTCTGTGGAGAGGTTGCTACTTGTTGCCATCCTGTGCCGCTATTCTGCCTGGGACCGGGGACCCTGGCTTGGCCTTTAGGTCCATGGAAGAGAGTATGGATGTGGTTCCTGCGTTTGCCTTTCCAGACCTGGGGGGAGGGGGAGTTGCCTTGGGAGATTCTACCAAGATTTAAAAGTGGCATATTCCACTGGGCCAGTGTGGAATTCAGCGTGGACCCCTGCAGCTGGCTACTTCCCTGCAGGGTTATCTACTTGTATAGGCAGGTAGACTGAACCTTGCATAGGAGCATTGGGACAAGGAGCCTACAGGAATTGAATTCAAGCCTGAACTCTCTCTGTCAAGCCAGGTACCCTAGGGTCTTAACATCCATCCAGAGGGGCTCCCCTTACTAAGTCATCTGCCCACAGAGACCGCCTTTTTCTCTAATGCACAAAGGCTTTTGAAGGGCCAGCAGTACCCACAGTGAGGTTGGTGCTCAGCACCTTCCCTAGTTCTTCCAGGGCCTTCACTCACTGTTCTGGATCATTTGTGTGACTGTTTGTCTCCTTTATTCCCTTGAAAGTTCTGTTAAAGGCAGGGGTCATGCTCCATTCATATTTATTTATCTCCTTCTGCCTAATTCTTTCACCAAGTGTTCACACGTGGGCTAGGCCCCCAAGCTGCTTTTGAGAAATAGAACCATTCTAGGAAATCGTCGAGATCATCTGGCCCAATACGCTCATTGCTCGGCAGGGAAACTGAGGTCCAGAGAAAACAAGTGACTTGTCCAAGCACAGAGACTAGGACAGGTCACTTCTTGCCCTGACACTCAATTTGGCACCCTTTTCACTTAAAGAGGCGGCCACGGAGCACAGGGATGGAGGCCGAGAACTATCTTCAGGTCTAGGCTTGCTAAGGAGTTCAGCCAGGGACTCGTGCCTCCATTCTCATCAGTGCTGTGTCTGAGTTACGGAATGAACAGTTGCTGACTGGGTGGGTGAGGACAGAATAAAGGAAGAGAGATCCAGACAGATGCAAAGGAACCCTTGTGCTGACCTTCCCGTGTCTCTGTACATCTTGTGCAGCACACACGGGGGGCTGCTTGGGGCATCTTTCCAAGCCACACACCCAAGTTAGCCAAGCTCTCCTGGCCTTGTTGGAATCCTGGTGGACAAGTCGCTATGGAGGCAAGTCAGCGGGTTCAAGGGCAAGGCTAGGGGCGTGGCTGCCCACGGCTTGTTCCAACCTGCACAGTGGCCACTCCTTCTCAGTCTTCACTTGGCCTTTCTTCGGCTGTTTCTATGAGCTCATAATATCGCTCCTTCTCCTATGCAGCCCGCCCTTCCTTTCCACCCACGCTCCTTTGAGGCACCTGATACTTATACCGTGGCTCCCACTAGCCTCCCATTTACCCACCCGCTTGCCCCCATCCTCTCCAGAGCATCAGTCCATGAGGAATTTGTGGAATGTCCCCAGGAAACTCTACCATGGTCCAGGCCCCATAGCTCTTTCAACACAGGAAGGAAAATAAAGAAAAAAAACAGCTAAGAGTTTGGAGAGGGGAGGGAAGCAGGGTGCGTCAGAACTGTTCACTTCTTCCCTGCCTGGCCAGGCGTCTGTCAGACAGTCCAGCCCTCATCCACTGCAGCCATTGGAACAGGATGTCCCTCTGTGGGGAAGTGTAGAGGACGCAGAGACCATGGCATGACCGTGAGGGGCTCTTCTGTGCTGTGTCACATACTTGCTCGTACACTGTTCTCTGTTAGACACTGGGGGAGCATCGCAGACTAGGCCTTCTGAGCCCCAAGCCTGCAGAAGGAACAGGCAGAATAAGGATAAGACCTCAAAGCCGAGGCGGGTCATACCTGTATTGGCTAGGGGTCAGTGCACTACAGGTGGTAAGAAGACAGGCATATGGCCCACCACAGGGATGGAACAATGGCAGAGAAACCAACCACTATGGTGTGATTGACCTTGAAGGCTTTACTGAGGAGGAAGGGATGAGAAACTGATGAATTGACAAATGGGGGAGAGAGAAGGGCATTCTAGACCTTGGGTGCCACACTGAGAAGGTGCAGAGCCTGTGCCCAGAAGGTCTAGAGTGCACAGGGGGTTTGGAGGATTGGTGAGGGGAAGGTCAAGCTGGAGCACTGTGAGGGTCCAGGCCTGGGAGGACCAAGTGAAAAGGATCTTGGGATTTTTGCTGACCACAAGATCAACAGGAACCAACTGGGTGGTGCAGATTTCCCAAAATCCATTAGTCTTCACTGCACTAATAGGAGAATAATTTCCCGGTCTTGAGACATGGTGGAGTTATGCTATGTGAAGAATATTTTAAAAAGGGTAGTAACTCAAGGGAAGAAGAGGAAAGGAGGAAACAAAACATCTTTCCTCAGATAATACAACTTACTGAGCACTTATTATATGTCAGGTGTTATTCTAAGAGCTTTATATCTGTTAGCTCATTTAATATTGATATAATTCTGTGAGGGAGGTGCTATTATCACCTCCATTTTACAGATGAAGAAATAGAGGCCAAGAAAGGTAAAGACGTTCATCTGAGGCCACAGAGCTAGTAAATGGCAGAGCCAGAATTTGAACCTTCATCGTCTGGTTTCGCAGTTCACATACTTAGCCATCAAGCTGTGGAAGACGAACTAGACTTACCTGGCGTGGCTCCAGAGGGCAGAATAGAACCTGTGAGCAGGAGTGACAGCAAAGCACATTTCCACTTCCTATAAGGAGGAAGTTTCTGGTAGCCAAACTGTCCCAACATGGAAAGCCCTGACTCAAGAGGGAATGAGCTCCCAGTCAGTGGAAATATCCAAGTCACCGACCAGGGATGCTGTGGAGGAGCTCCTACGCCTGCCACATGATCGTTACGCCACCACTCTTCCCCTGACTCCTTCAGTAGGAGAGGGCGTTAAGGGAGGGGAGGCTGTGGCAGAGAGGAAGAGCAGAGGGAAGCCGAGGCACCCTGCTGTGGGCTTTGGAGTCACGGACTGGCTTCAGCTTGCTCTCAGCGTGTAGCAGAAAGCCCGCAGGGTCAAGGAAGAGGTGAGGGTACAGAAAGGGCAAGGCATGGCAAACATGTTGAGAACAGGCAGGCCTGGGGGGTGGATATAAGGGAGGGGAAAGTGGGGTGTTCTGGGTACGGGCACAGTGGTGTGGTGGCTAAGGACAGGCTGAGAATCCGGAGAAGAGAGGCAGGGAGCTCCTGATGAGCAGATGGAGGGAGCACAGTGGCATCAGGAACTGCAAACTCATTGACGAAGACTTCCCAGCGTGAAAGGAGGAGCCCAGGAGGCAGTTGGAGCACAAGTCACGGGGCAAAGGAAGGAAAAAGGTGGGCTGAGAAGCTGCAAGGACATGGGAGGGAGGACTCTCTCCAGGTTCGGGGCAGAGTCCTTCTCGTTCCTTCTCTCTCTTAATGACTGCTGAAGCTTCTGCCTCAGTCCCAGCTTTATGTCCCTGCAGGCTTCCCCTAAGCCCTCAGCCCCAGGGCCTTCCCCAGCAGCAGGAGTTGTTGGCTTTCTGTTCTCTGTCCCCACTGGAAAACTTACCTGCTGCTCAGGGACTGGTGACACGTCCTTTACCCTGTCCCTCCAAGCATTTTTGAGTAGCCCCCTCCTCAGACCCCTCACAGCATGCAAGTTTGCTCTGATGGCATCCACCACGGGAGCAGCTACTAATGTGTCCACTTGAGATTCACAGATTCTGAAGGACAGGGACCCTCTCACGTTATGTCACCCTTCCCCATGGCCAGATCCAACATTGCTCACACATGAGGTGCTCATTAAACTTATCTCCAATATATTGGGCGCCGCCTTCCTATGCCAGACACCTATTTGCACTGATTGGAAGAGAACCAGACGCCAAGAGTGACCACTGTTGACGTGGCTGGTTTGTAAGGGAAGGAAGTTATGCTGTGGTAGATATGT